GCGGAGCAAATCCATCTGGCGGAGTCAGGTAACCTCTGCTGGGGGTGTTAAATGTAATCAATTTCGATTAAATCTCCCGAAATTTCCAAAAAGTAAATGTACCTGCAACTTAAAAACAGCTAAAATGCAAGTTTTACCTACAAAAAACATGGTGATGTCTAAGATTTAAAAATAATGATATCTTCAAAACAAAGTAGCACAAAAAATTATGTTAAATGCACAAACCTGCACTAATAAAGCACTAAATATTCAGTCTGTTTACATGGCTTTGGCTTTTTCCCTGTTAGTTCAAGTGGAGCTCCGTGTCGTCTGTCATCGGTTCATCCTCTCCAGGTTCCGATGATGAATTACGCAGCATTTGGGGAAATGTTCAAAGCTCGATATATTAATTTAAAACATAACTCTGCTTTAAACTTTCTCTCTGAATAGATAGATGGATCCAACATTCAATATAGAACAGAAACAAAAAGAATCAGTTTTTTTCATAGTCGTTTTTTCCCACAAGTAATTCAAAAGTAAGAAAGAACCCACTCTCTAGGTTTCTCTATAAAAGCCCATTTCAACCATTCATATGTAAAAAATGGCTAATTGGATTTGATTATTCTGAGATTTAAAGTCATAAGTATAATATTCAGTCATAATTATGAGAAACTAAGTGATAATTGACTTTCTAAGTCAGAATTTGGACTTTACAAGTGATAAATATTAGATTTAAACTCATAACTATAATATGTACAGTATCAATTACTTTTATGACTTTAAATCTCATATTTCTGACCCAATCTCACAATGATGACATACTATGAGGCTTTTTGTACTTTGAAGTGGTGGAAATGGGTTTCCTTAACTCTCTGTTTCATGTCTGCACAGTTTTCCTCTAACCTAACCTAATGATGCACAACGGAGTTTTTCATTTAAAACTCAGACAAGAAAAAAGTATAAAAATAAATATGCACCATAACTTGGTTACTTCAGTAAAAATGCACAATTTAGGCGTTTCTAATTATAAACATAAAGACTATTATATTATGCTTATTGTTCCGGGGCTCCTGCTGGGGTTAATCACAGTCATCTGAACAGTTCTGCCGTCTGTGTTTTAACTAGGAGGATGCAGCAATCACTACCAGTCGGTAAGAATTACTGGGCAGAAACTATTCAGCTGACTTCGTGCTGTCTGGTTGTGTGCTTCATCTACCTCTGACTGTGCCAATAATACCTTGCAGCCAGCCTGCAGCAACCCTGGCGCATGGGGCCTGATTGAATAAAACATGTCTAATTGTCAGTAGGGACGGGATAAGCGAGGTCATGCACACGTGAAGCAGTGCCGAATAACGATTCTGGAAACACAGCGAGAGATACTTCTGGCCTTGATTTTGCCCAGAAACACCAAAGAGACCATCAGAAGGAGCTGCGGCGAGGAATCCAAAACGAGCCGGAAGCTCATTTATATCCTCCTCTTTTAAATTTATGACTCCCCCAAACTGCAGCACTACTGAACAGATTTTGTTCTTACGCTTTCTAAGACTGTGTAATTGCTTCTTAATGGTCAAAGTCTCAGGAGTATCTGTTCATTTATTTTATCTAAGCTGTAATGAAACGGTGCGTGTTTGTTACCTTGGGCAGGGTGTACTTTGGCAGCTTCATCGGGGTAAAGACGTCTCGTTTTGCAGAAACATAGTAGACCGGCCTCCCTGCAGTGGACACCTTCAGGCAGAAACATGACAAACAACTTTTTACAACAAACAATAACGAAACATGCCCTGTTAATTCTCCCCTAACTACACAAAGTTATCCAGTATTTCTCACTGAGCCAACGGGACGATTACTTACCTGGACAAACACATACTCATCCTGCACCACCAGGGAATTGGGGTCAATGTATCCGGGGAACGGTTTGCCCTTGTTGGCGTCGGTGCAGTTCTGCAGCTTGCAGGTGACATAAAGCGCCTCTGCTCTCGCACACACACAGACACACACAGATACACACAGATACACACCAATATGTCAGGCTGTGGCTTCAGATATGGTTTTTAGCCAATAAAGAAAGGCAGCCTTCACCCACAGCTAAGTGCTCTCTTTCGGCCCTGTGCATCACTTGTGTCAGTAAAGTGGCCCCTGTAAAAGAGGAGCGGGATGACAGATGAACTGAGAGGCCGATTGCTTTCTTTGCCTTCAATCATGGCTCTGCGGCCCCACGGCCTGTCCCACAACGCCGGCCGCTGCCAAAAATGTGTCGGCTTCAGCCATACAGGCATGATCAATGGTGATGGTCTCTGGCTGCATGACTGTAACTCTGTGTAGGGTTTGAATTTGACTGGCTAACCTCTGCTATATCAGGCCCAAACAACAACATGAAAGCAAAGAGGGACACTTTCATTAGTTATTCTATTTTTTACAATTGATCCCAGAAACATGCAAATACTGGTTACATAATTTGAATCAAAAAATGATTCTGTCAAATATTGCTATCTTTCTTTAGAAGATAATCATATAGTTTCAAAGTACCTATATATCAAAAATATCATTAAATATTATTGATTCAAAATATGGAATCAATCTTAAATGTCAAAAAAAAAAATTTATACGCAAACTTGCATTTTATTATCTTATACAACCAGCCACTAGTTGGCAGTGTAAAGCCTAAGATCCTCTTATTCAGTCGTTTTGCATCAGCAGAGTAAAAATAAGGTCACGTTAGGTATAAAGTATTCATTAAAATCACAATATATAATCTATGTTACTGCATCACTATTGATCTCAGCAAATCATATTGCGACAGTTTTGTAATATGTATCGTATCGCCAAATTCTTGTAATATATATTTATTCTATATTCTTGCTCTTTGATGCATTTTATTTTGTTTTGCAAAAATCCTGAAAGCAAATTTAAAAACAATGTATAAAAATGTAGATCTGGTTTTAAAACTCGTAACTATTGAAAAAAGACTGCAGCATATAAAGCAAACTGGAACTGTAAGAGCCTCCTATTGTATAATTATACCTGTATAATTGTGTCAGCGCCTAATAAGGACAAATCGGAACGTGGAATGCAGAAATTATGGTTATATGCCTTAGTTACGGTAAAATCAAGTCTATACACTTTTAATCATAGATATATGTATGGACATTATCTTACCCTTTTTACGAATGTCAAACTCTTAAGAAAAATTAAACAAATTTCGATTTATTGCAGTTTTTTGCTTCTAATTTAATGCTAAAAAAGTATTAAGTCACCTCTTAAGTGCTAACACGAAAAGAGGCAATGCGCACACTGACTTAATGTGTTTTCACCAACAGAATACAGGTTTCTATGTATTACATCCTCAACAAAAAATACATTTATAGTTCAGATGTTTATCATAGATTTATCCGGCTAAGGTTCAAATGTGCAAAGTCACGTTCTTACACTTTTTTTTAAACGTATATGCCAGTAACCTTTGTAGGCATACATAGCTTTTCAACCACATCGTGCTGATGTATTATCGCTGCTTTTGTATTATTGTAAGGTAAATGACCTGTATTATTAATCTGTTCTTTGGTATGGCCAGCAGGTGGCGCTAAGTCTCTATATCTGCTCATTTCGCCCAGTGCTGAAATGTTATTTAGGCTTAAAAAGGCTTTTCTAAACTCTATAAGGACGCTTGGTGTGAATAACCTTATTTAATCACGGTAAAATATTTTTTCTTATTCCTTTTTTTACAGGCATATAACGTGAATATGCATTTTTAAAGAATCAAAGTATTTTAGATACTGAACTGGAGGTAAGTGCAGTCTAGAACCAAGATGTTTAGCAGCCTTTTAGTTTTTTGCATCAGTAGAAAAACTTTTTTAAGTGTCACTTCTGTGTTATGTTGGGCAGTTTATAAAGGACCAAACTTGCTTAACTTTAAGTGTTAAAGCTTATTTTTAGGTTTAGCAACGTAGTTGGCCTGCATTGCTAGTGGACTGCATAAGTCAACTATTGCTGGCACAGCACCACTTTTTTCAAACTACTTCCTTCTGAGCTTCAAAGAGAGAGTCTGAAAAATAACTCCAATATTTATGAAGCCTAAATCGCTCCATATGCATGTCTGGGATTCTGAAGTAGCTTTACTGGACCAGATGACGTCATGGTACAAGCTGCATACCGTTTTTTTTCTTTTGTTTTTTAACTAAGGTTTCCTATGTAATCCAAAATGAAATACATTGTATAAATGCGGTTTAAGTTAGGCCAGACTTCTACGATTAAAACCTGCATGTCAGAGGAATAGACAGAGATTACAGGATGCGGTATTGGAACGTCTGTGATTCAGGAATAGAAGTCAGATTTCCCTCTGCTGTAAGACCAAAATCCGTTGAAGTGCACCTTTGATCCGTGCTTCAGCTGAAAAGATTGCTGCCTGCTGTGTCCTCGGGCCTGATGAGGCAGACATGCTGCTAGACTGATTTCTCACACAAACAACCATTAGATTTGACATGTTGATTAATGTTAATATTAACCCTGCGTTAACATGGAGAACTTTTTGTTTATGGCCTATCTATTTATAAATCATGTGTTTCCATGATATAATGCCAGTTAGGGACAGATTACACTTTTATCCAACTAAAAAGGCTTAAAATATTTTGAATGACACATCTCAGTGTTAGAAAATCACACATCTAAGCAGTTGCTGATACTATAAATATGCATATGTGTTTAATTTGGCATGAAGAATATCAACAAATAACAGTAATGAAGTTGTGAGCCTCACAGTTGACTTCCTTTAATAGACACTCAGCAATGATGATCTGAGTTATACTACTTAGCTGTGCATGGTTTACAGTGGAAACTAAACATGCATGAGGAAGTTGGCAGGTTATGAACATTTTAGAGAAAGGTCTCAAAAGAAGTATGATTATTACAGTAACAATATTCCCAGTATTTTAATGAGTGTCTATGAAGTCAGAACTATAATCATATGAGCATAGTTTGCTTTATATGCATGTGTGGATTCTGTTCTGCTAGCATGTGCGCCTGCTTCTGTGCACTGATTTAAACCTTTATAACTTTTGGGAATTAACTGCTAACAGCTATTAGCCTGGAGACAACAACAGTAGGCTACTAGCTGCTATCACTACCCGATCTGTACCGGAAGCATGTTCCGTCGCATCAGTTCATTTGTGCATGTGCAAGTGGATATTCATCCAAATTTCAGTTTGTAATTTTAATTACATAATTTTTATCCTGTGAAAGTGATTAGTAAAATGTAGTTTAAAAAGAATTAATTTCATAAAACTTTATCTGAACAACAGAATGTTGTATTAAAGTTTTTACATGAAATCTGTAAAAACATTAATACAAAATAAATCTAACTAAATTAGAAAAAATAAAATACAAAAAATAGAAAAAAAATATATATATATATATATATTGTTGGGAAAAAATCTAATTAATAAAACAAATTTGAAAAAAAAAAAGAACTGAAAAAAATTAAACCTGAACGATATGAAATTAAGGCAAAGTAAATATTGTTTACTTCAACATGGTTTCTCAAAACAATTATTGATGTTAGTTAAAAACAATGCAAAAAATGCCCCCCTATGTAAACAATATGAAGACAATAATTTAAGGTTTTCTGTTTTAATGAGAAAATAATCCCGAAAACGAAAATTAAAGGCACACGGCAGACTTTATAACCTAAAGAATTGACACATATGAGTTATTTTTAATCATTCCTCCACCCAATATACAACGCTTGACATTATCATTACATTTTATATTATATGTATTATATTCAGAGATGGTACTTGAGTAAAAGTACAGATACTTGTGTTAAAAAATACTCTGGTAAAAGTGGAAGTACTGATTCAACTTCTTTACTCAAGTAAAAGTAACAAAGTACAGGCTTGTAAATTTACTTAAAGTATAAAAGTAAAAGTAGAAACCACTTTTTTCATGCTGTTGCCTACATTTTAAATGGATGTCTGCCAATAGGACTAGATCTCCGTTGTGTTCATTTTCAATCATCTGGTCGTCCATACTACTATGCTAACGCCACCGCCACCAAGCTGCAATGATTTGCCGCCAATGAATACCGCCGAATCTGTCGATTCATCTTGTAGTGGTGCGTCAACTGCAACGTAGATTCCCATCCAATTAGATTGAATTTGGTATTGATGACATGAAAAATAATAACGGTAACTCCATTGAAATGATTCAAAACTAAAGTAACGAGCCAATTTTTTAAAATGTAAGGAGTAGAAAGTACAGATATTTGTGTAAAAATGTAAGAAGTAGAAGTAAAAAGTCGCCATAAAAATAAGTAGTAAAGTAAAGTAAAAATATCAGAAAAATCTACTTGAGTACAGTAACGAAGTATTTGTACTTCGTTACTTCCCATCTCTGATTATATTATTGCTACAAGTTGGGCTCCCCTCTTGAAATACTGACTGATACTGATGTAAGTTGGGATTTGATGATCTGTCGTTGGCCAGGTCATGTGACCTGGAAGAACATACGGACATAGGCTCTTATATCGTCACGGAGATAAGGCTTTTTTTCTACCATTTTTTTTCACCTGCTTGACTACTGGTCATGGCTGAGGCAATGAAACAGTTTAAACCTTCTCAGGAGGCTAAAAAGAGAAAATGTGAAAGGGATCATGTGCGAGGAAAAATAGAGTCGATGCTGGAAAGGAGTTAGTTTGTTAGAGCGGGCTGAAAGAAGAACCTGGAAACTGATTATCTTCTCCTAACTTTATTATTAGACTGTTAAGTTAACACTTTGCTCCTTGTTTACAGGCATATATCTTTGTTATTATATCCATGTTTCGTGGCCACAAGTCAAACGATGTGCCTTTAACAATAGCAAAATTAATAAAAAACAACATTTGCTTTCATATCGATACCATGACAAGTGAGTATTGTGTTGTGATAAAGGGTTTGAGTATTGGTACTTTTCAGAGTAGATATTTTTAAAACCCAACCCCTGACATAAACCGATAAGAATGTGAGGAACAGATCTAAATAAAGGATCACAGCAAAAGTAGTTGGTCACAAAACAACATAATTTCACTACACAAGGATAAAAAAATGCAACACAGCTCAATAAAGTAGCTGTATTGAAATTATAAATTTGCAGAAACAGTGTGTTTACAGAGCTATTTCTTTACTATAAAAGCCCTAAAGCATCATCTTCCTTTATGTGGATTAATAAATTAAAACCTATATTTCCAGAAATTAGCTAAACCATTGGCCTTTAAAGGCTCTACAGATATATTCATCCTTGCTCCCTCTGTTGTTACTCGGGGTCCCTGGACCGGGGTCATGGCTGTTCCTGCTGTGTCTGTACATTATCCTGCAGCAGGATTGTCCAAACAACCTCCAATTGCTCCCCACTTTAACACAATGCCTCCGACAGAGTACAAAGGCATGAGGAAAATAGAGTTCTTAACTCAGAATTCAATTACTCACGTCCTTCAGAGATGCTGGTTTCCAGGTGAATTAAGCCTGGTTCTTTGTCCAAACCCATCTTGGACCTGAAAGGGAAACAAATATGTTTCAGGAACATCTGCTTTGTTCTTTTCACAATGAGCGGATGCTCCCCCTCACCTAACGCTGCTTTCTGACCCGGGACATTACACGCTGCAGAGTCAGACAAATTTACAACTACATGGAAGTTCAGCTGCAGCAAACAACAGCAGCAACTGGATATATAGGAATTACTGTTTGCAACACGGTGATCTGATAGAGCCTCAGGTTGGATGTGAGATCTAAAGGTTCGGGGGACCTTGAAGGTCCTTTTCCACTCTGAATGAGACAGACAGAAAGGTGTTTCCTCCAATCATCAGAGGAGAAAAATCCATTGATTTCCCTGGTGCACTCGGGATGCCTGCAGATGGAGTAGCATATAATCATTACAGCATTAAAAATGTATTACAGAGACCTGGGGATCAGAGGCGGGAGGCAAAGGGAGCGTAGATGTTGAGTTCATTGGGAAGGTGGAGAGAGGACGAAAGGTTGCTACAAAAAATGGGAAATTAGAAGAGTTTTATGTTAAGGTTAAAAATCAGGCCACAAAACTCTGATTATTATTATTTTTTAACATATAAATGCAACCAATCAAAATGGTTACTTTTAAATGTCTGAATTTTAGTTAAAATAAGCATACATGAGGTCAGTGTTGCCCCTTATAAAATTTTAAATTCTTAAAACATACATCAGACAAATAGAGCTTGAGTGTGATGAAGTTTTGAATTAATTACTGTATTAATCGGGGAAAAAAGTCTAATCAATCAACGTAGCTCTGTGTGTAAAGTGTCAGCCCCCTACCAGCATTTACTAGTTTTACCGCTTCCTGCAACGATTGGAATCAACTTTGTGTTTTCAATCTGCCATAAAACAGGCTTTAACCTGAGACAATCCAACTTCAGCCCATTTTTCTGAGGATATTTCGCCACCAATCCAGGAGTCTTAATCACTTCTGCTAGCTTTAACTGATGTTTTCTATAGGGACGGCCATCTTGCTAAAAACCTTTCAAGTCAGATGCAAAACAAAGATCCAGCCGTCGTTCTCCTGGGTTGTAAGTTTGAATGATGAGTTTCCTTATAAACAGAATAACAGTAGAAGCCTGGACTAAAACATTTTCCATTTCAGCTGTGAGGAACTAGCCTAGGTGCCATTCCGAACTTAGTCCCGCCCACAACGTTTGAGGTCGGGAAGTTCGGTCTGGCATTGCTCAACAGTAGCGCGAGTATGCTCGCACAATATCTGGCGGGCCAATCAGATTGTCAGGGGGGGCTTTATACGATGATGGACAGATGATCAACAGTAACGTAATCAACCACGTGACCAAAGCGCGCTTCGGTGACAACAACAATGGCTGCCGCTGGAGAGTTGAGGTGTGTAGATTCTGCTATTAGGTCTGTTCTAGAAGATATCGACAGCAAATTAATTTTAAAAGAGGAAAAGAGAAACACAATCAAGGCTCATCTTCTTATTCTAGGCGTGCAACTGCACGCTTTGATTTTTGTTGACAACAACTATGCGTCGCTTAACATACGTCACGCACTCCGTTGCTCTTATTGGTTGTAGGTCTATCCAATTGAGTGCAGAGGCATTTTTTTTCCTGGTTCGTTCGAAACACGCCCCATAATCACAGCTCTATGGAGCAGTATCAGACTCATATTCTGACTAGAATTGAGTAGGACTACGTCAGGCTAGCAAGGAACAGCAGTTTATAGGCCTTTAATGTTCGTTTGTTGTTTTATTTGAATGTTGTGTGCTTTGGTCTATTTAAAATTGTGCTTTATAGATAGACAAATGGATTAATGAAGAAAAAAAACAAAAACCTGGTCTGGGAACACTTCTAAAATTTTCGAGAAAATGGAAGAACGGCTACCGAATGTATGGAAACGGCTTATAAAGCCCATGTCACGGTCACTTCCAACATTTTAACCTCCAATCATTTTTTTTCCCATGTCACACTCCTACTCCTCATAGGGTAGCAGAAATGTGCAGATTATTTTTTCTTTTTGCCTCTGGGCCCCATGAATTGAGACAGTTTCCTACATTTGAATGACTCAGATTAATAAAAGTCAATAAAAAATAAAAAATAAAAAAAAGCCAGCACAGCTAGAAAGCAAAGCTTCATTTTATGTCCAGCCTGTGCAGAACGCTCTTAAATCAGAACAGATAGAGGATTTTACTGTATAGGAAAAACTGTATTATTAACTAGGTTTAAAGAAAGGAAAACACAGCAACAAAGGCTCTACGACAGTTTATACAGGCTACCTATTGCAAGGAGAGGTGATTCTCACAGAGCAATCTGTGAAGTTTGTTGAATAAAAAAAAAAAATTATAATAAGGAGGGACGGGTGTTAAGCTGCCCTTTTCTGACGATGAGCACTAAATGCCACGACCTTGTAGTATATGATTTTGTGTCAGATCTGATAAAAATTACATTCCTTGTGTTGAGGGCTTTAGTGTACCCAGGGTGATAGTTGTCAAATAGTCTTTTTCCCCCTTTTCTTACATATTTGCAGATTTTTAGAGCTTTCTTCCTACTTCCTGTTGTCAGACAGGTTCTTAAGTCTAAATCTTAGCAGTGATTAGACCTGAATGGGGATAGTGCATATTAATTGGCAGTGTTGTATAGTAACAAAGTAAAAATACTTCACTACTGTACTTACAGTAAGTATATTTTGGAGTACTTTATACTTTCCAAGAGTATACATTTTATTTGAGAACGTTCACTTTTATTTCACTACATTTACAAACTTAATTGCATACTTTTACTCCGATACATTTTCAATGTTTGGTTTAGTTACTAAGTAAAAAAAAAACAAAAAAACGAGCGAGAAAGCGAGAGAAACGCAAGTGTTTTGACCCCACCTACTGACTACAAAGTCGGGTCTTGCCTGGGCTTGTTCATCAACACCAATAGGATACGCCTGTTTCACAAAGCCAGTCTAAATTTATCCTACACTTGGTTTTGTATATTATTTTAAGTGAATTTAACCTTCAAAGTTTACCAAAATGTAAAAAAATGTAATTCAAACCACATCTCTTTTTACAGTAATTCTTATACTTAAGTACAAGCCATTTTAGATACTTTTAGTAACATTTCAGTCAGTGACTTGGACTTTTACTAAAGTCATATTTTGGAGAGGTACTTATACTTTAACTTGACTCCGAGATTTCGGTACTTTATACAACACTGTCAGTTGGTATAAATGTCATTAAAAGGATTATTTTCTGGTTTTACAAGGATGGGATCACAGACGTAACTTTCTGAAGGACTGGTGTGGACATGTCCCAAACCAATAATTTCCACTTTTTTCCTCTTTCCACTCAGGTACTTTAGCCAAAGGTAACAGAAGTTAGGTGCAGCTAACTGTGTTCAGAGCGTTTTGAGTCACTGTTTTTTTTTTCCTCTCTCGCAGATCTCGCATCTCAGTCTGACATCATCTGTCGCTTTGAGACATCTGATTTGCGGTCGCATATCACTGCATACAAAGTAGCTACGTGGTTGGAGGAGAAACACACAGCAGCACTCAGTGAACATTAACCAGCAGCTACTTTGATGTTTAAGTAAAAGTTAGGAGACGGGTTAGTTAAAAAAAAATTTAGATCATGCCACCGAAAAATCTGTTTGTAAAACATACAGAGGTTTTTCAGCTAAAAATGGCAACTGATTGTAACTTTATAGGAGTTACTAAAATAATCTTAAGAAAACATAGTTTGTTCTTCTTTACAAGTTAAAAAAATCTTGGCTTCTCAGAGGACCATGACTCACAGTTACAGGTTAAAATTAACATGTTTTTTTTTTTATTGTACAGACAGAATCAGACAGCAGAGATTCTACATATGCTGAAATGTTGTTTCTGACATCATTATATTAGTAAAGAGGTTCATAAATCTTTGAGCACAGAGAGAAGTAGGGGGAGCTGCAGATTTAAAGGTGAAACAGATTTACTGGGATATTTAACATGCAATAAAATATATCTCCAAGTTTACCAGAAAGTTTACAAGAAGAAAATATGCAATGCTATATTTAAAATGCAGTATATCCATATTTTTCTGGATGGATGGAATTGAAATTGTATTTCTAGGGATGCATGATATATTGATTTTGGCATCGGAATCGGCTGTTATTCGTTGTGAAAGCATTCGAGTTAAGTTACTGTGGGTCCATCACCCACCACCCGAGTGTCCAAACCAACTTTCATCACAAAGTCACACCCTTGGTTGGGATTGTGGTATTTTTCACAAATACAGCCAGGTTGGTTTAGATAACTTTTATACATAATATCAAACTAACATTTGTATTTATTTAGATCATGCTTGTCTTCTCATACCATCTGGAGTTGTGAAGTATGACCAAAAAAAAAGAAGTAAAAAAAAAACAAATCAGTCAGGGGAAAAACTTTTTTTTAAAGTTTAAATAAAGACCAACGGTTGATTTAAAATACTTGAAGTGAGGTTTAGAAGATAGAAGGAAAGAGCCGCTGTCGTGAGAGGGAGCTGTTACCCCATGAAGAATTCGCCGCACGTGGAGCTCCAAAAGTTTCTGCAGAGATATTTAATGTCATATGCTAATGCATACACTTGGTAAGCTCCCAAACTGATTATAGTTGAATCCTATGGAGGTTTTCAGCCTGTCACTGAGTTCCTCTCAGGTTCTCCAAATCACAAATGAGCTTACACATGTTCTGTGGCTGTATATACAGCAGACATAAGCTCCCTGTGCAGCTTCATTACCAGGGCCAACACAACTCTGACTGCACAGCGTGCAACCTAAAATAGAACTCTGACAGCATCTGCAGCATCAGGCCTCAGGCTCACTTCACTCCAAGCAGCGGGGCTTTTTACTACTCAACTGCTCCTCTGCACTTTTTTCATGTGAAGGTCTTTTGTCATGTGTTAGTTATTAGATAAAGAGATGCAGAAAGAAACTAACTTTGACATACTGTGATGGAGCAACACAACAAACTAAATTTACAAGAACACAGACAGTCTTTAGGTATTTTACAAACT